CATTTAGGAATATTGTAGGAAAAGCTCTCTTCATGGGAAGGGGATGAAACACGTCAATTTGTCTAGGAGATAGGCATTCTCAAAGTCAGTGCTGGAAAAGGAGACACATTTGATATCATTATCACCTTAAACTGCCCATTTTATTTGAGGTCAACTGTAGACTGTTTCTAGCACTGTGCTTCAAGTGGGGCGAAGGGCTGAGTGTGAGACAGTGACCACTGTCAAATGTATTTTACACACAGAAAAAATGCACATCCATGAGGATTTGGATGTTCGCCAACTCTCCAACAATTTGCCTCATCCTCAACAGCTTCCCCACAGAAGGCATTAAGAGTGATCGGAGTTGATTACACATGTAAAAATTTTATACTAGATGTTCCTGACACACGAGGTTTCCAGATGAATTTCAGAAACATTAACAGAAGTATCTTCCTGTTCTGCCTGCAAATGTTTGAATACTACCGTACTGTTGGCTTATGTCCATTACAGATACTGGTTCTAGGCCAGCTCAAGGGTCTTCAAGCACTGAAGGCTTAAAATAACTTTCCAGCTCATTAGACATTCCTTTTTATCTGGCACACCCTGATCCAAATAGTCCTGGGAGAAGTACTGTTAATATTAGAGAAGAAGTACCATGATTTGCAGTATTTAGTTATCTGGAATACCTATTACAATTTAGAAGGTTTTTCTTTAACATTCCTGGATGTATAATGGACATAAGTCTTTGAATGTTTTTCAGTGTTTCAAAATAAAACATTTTGTCATTTTAGCTAAAAAAAAAAAAAAAAAAAAAAGAGTATTAAAGAGGCTGGAGTATCTATATGACCTCAAATCCAACTTTGAAAGCTCCCAGGAAATGCATCCAACTGATAGGTAGTCTTTTTCTTAGCATCACCACCCACAGCAAAACAAATCTTCAATGATTTGACTCTTTCTTTCTTTCTTCCTTTTCTTTTTAGAGATTTTGCTATAGGACATGTTTGCTCACCAGAGACAAACAGAGAGACAGAAAGAGAAATCACCTCCCAGGGGGATGGCCACACCACAATCCCTTCTCCTCCATTCTCATTTTGGGATTACGGGTATGCACTCACACATACCCAGCATGAGTTTCAACCCACCAGGTCCAGGACCCGAACCACGGTCAGCCATGTGGGAGTCCAATGCCTTAACCACTACATGATCTGTTGGCCCCCATTTGACTACTTCTAATAATTCTTATAGGAAGCTGAATGAAGTTCATTTTTATCTATATAGAAAGCCTTTGCAATAGAAGAGTACCATAGAACTGTTAATTTGCTTAAAAGTTTTTAGGCTCCCTCAAGCTCTTTACAAAGACCTACTTACTTATCCTAACTGGTAATCATGGGTTAAATCAAGTTACCGAAAGGATCTTTCTAGGCAATCTTCTATTAGCTTAATGCAAATGGTCAGATATTGTTTGAAAATAATACAGCTATATTTCTTTGAATATAGTCTCACTAACTAAAACTAACAATCTGTAACGTTCCCCAGGGTTTTTGGAATTTGTGAGATTTTTATAGTGGTATGCCACTTCCACACTAGGATAGACCAAAAAGCTAAACACATTTTCAATGAAAAGTAAGATACAAAGATAGTGAGATTTAGTATTTTATAGTACTTATGCCATTGGCTTTAATTTGTTAAAGTTTATTTATTCCTTTCATGAGCAAGAAAGAGAGAGGGCATCCCCAACAAGGGCATGATCTGTGATCAACAATATTTCCAGTCTTAGCCAGCCCTAGATCATGGGTAAGCTTGTGCCCAGCATACTCAGGGAGGTCTCAGGACTTGAACTAGGAATCTTCCCATGTGGGACTGCCTCGCAGACCAGGGAGCTCTACCTCTGCGCCACTCTCTGGCCCCTACCATTGCTTTTAATTATACATGAAACCTTGTATATTTCATTCATGGACTCTAGATATTCCTTATATATCGAAATACTCTTCTTAGTCCATGAAAAAGTTCTAAGAAAATAAAAGGATATATAGCAATATTTACATTTTCATGCAAAATAAGAATCTGGATATTTTCCTTTTATCTGTGGCTCTAGATTTAACTTAATGTCAAGAACAGAGGCCAGCAGGTAGTGTAGTGGTTGAGGCATTGGACTCCCACATAGTTAACTGTGGTTCAAGTTCGGGATCCAGAGGCTTGCAACTCACACCTGGTGCGCGTGCATGTGTATGTAAAATCCCAAGACAAGAATGGAGGAGAGGGATTGCAGCATGGCCATCTTCCCTGAGGGGTGATTTCTCTCTTTGTCTCTCTATCTCTCCAGTGATAGCACACACCCTATAACAAAAATCTCTCAAAAAACCCCCAAAAGTCTAAAACAACAATAATTACACTGTATTGAGTGGTAGGGGTAAATGAATTCTTTCAGGCCACAAGGGTACTATTCAGTAAATTACTGCTTTGTGCACTGACCACTGCCTTGTGGCCTCAAATTCATTAAACGGTGAAGCGTGTACCTACTCATTCCTCCAAAGGCTCATTATTTATCACTTATTTAAACTGGTGGAGAATGAACAGGCCAAGTGCAGAAAAGCGAAGTCTTTCCAATTCATACACTTACAAACTGGAGCTAAAGAAAATTTTGGTTTCTACTGAGCTATATTAGTGTACAAGCCAAATAAAACACAATTACTCCCGAAAATTTGGCACACGTTTCTAATCCAAAAAACCAGTCCAACAAGGGCAGCAATTCGGAGTTTTACTAATCACTTTACATTTTAATGGGGTACAATAAATCCATTATATTAATCTTTTTCCACTAGAAGCTATTACCACATTATAGGCTCTTGGTTAAAACACTTCAGTCCATGGGGCATCTCTAAATTTTGATTAACTGTGCCAATATATAATTAATGTGCTCATGTACAAAATTGAAAACTTCTGAAGAGGGCACAGAGATGCCTCTCACTCCTACTCAGAGAGCGTCACACAACCTATATAGCAAAGTGTCAGGGGCAGGCTCCGATCTCTGGACAAGCAGATAAGTCATTCTCTGAACTATGGACATTCTCAACTGTGTAAGCAAAGAAGTTCTAATCAAACCCCCAACCTACAATATCAGTCAAAGAACAATAAGCAGAAATTACAGGGGAGAAGACAAAAGTGCAGGGTCTCACCAGAAAAATGATGGCTAGACAAGAAGTCTTTGGGTAATCCATCAAGCTTGCTTCTGGGCCCATTTCTGGCAAAAGAACTATTGTTTCAAAACATATTTATATTTAGCTATCTATCACAGGCAGATTTCAATCACAAATAAACAGAACTCAGGCTCAGAGATCTATACAATTTCCTTTCCTCTCTTAAAAAAAAATGAAAAAATCTAGACCTTTTGGGATCTGCAGCTGCCACTGAAGTAGTCACTGCAAAAAATTTTTTTAAAATTAGTTTTTAAAAACTCACATTAAACGTACTTTTTAAAAATTTACATTTAATCACTGTACATCTTTACTGTGTCATTGCAAAAACTGTAAAAGTAACTTGCACATGGGAGATATGTGTAGTCAGCTTTCCTTTTTTCAGTCTCTTATTCCTACTTTAATAACGCATTAAAGGTGAGTCAAAGTTCCTTTTTAAAGACACTGCACAGAACGCAAATGTTTTACAAGCTCCATCACCGATCATTAAAGAATCTCCATGAACTAAATAAATAAGCCACCAGGGACTCAGGCCTCTCATGCTTTTAGGCTGACTTCTACAGCAGTCACCATGGTTGGCAAATCTGACTTCGAAGGGGGCAGCAATGACTGCTCTGTGCCAGCGCCCAGTTTGAATCCAACAGGGTTAAAGGGTAAGGCAAACACCACCTTCAACAGGACAGCAGTCTTTATTTTAAACGACCCCTCCCCCCACCTCTAAGTTGTCTGGAACTTAGCCTTAACCTGAAGCAATCTTTTCTCCCATAGAAGAGCAAATCGAGTCTGCAGGGGAGAAAGAGGGGCAGTGCAAAGGATCAAGAAACCCGATCAAGTGTGAAAACACCCGGTGCTTTTGCCTTTGGACATCAAACACCAGCTTTGCAAGCAGGATGCGGTCAAGTCTGCAGGAGCTTCGTTCAGGGGGGTCAGCCCTGGACGAGAGAGCTCTACGGACACGCTCGCGGGTGGCAAAGGTGAGGGTTCCCAGAAGTCAGCCGGGCCCGGGACCCCCGGGCGGCCCTGGACTCGGCCGAGAAGGCAGAACTTTGTGCAGTTCGCCGCCAGCAGCCACGAAACCACCAGGGGCACATCTCCACGCCTCTGCCCATCATCGGTGCAGCCGGTTTCTTCTTTCCTGGCGGAGGTGGCGGCTGGGGGAAGGGGGGAAGGTCTGAAGGGACTTAAGGAAGGATGGCAAAGAGCAGAGGAGGATCGCTTCCTGCCCACTGGCTGTCCTCCCCCGCCACAAAGGGAAGGGCGCCACGCCGCTCTTTGGTTCCCACGGAGAGTCACCCGCGGACGAAGGCAGCACGCAGCCCCCAGGGGCCCGGGCCGCCGCGGGGGTGGGCGAGGCCAGTCGGAGGGGGG